TCGTAGTAATGTAAAAAATGTTTTAACGTGAAAGTATCTCATAAAATCAAACAAAGTATCTTGCTATAATGAGAAAAGATTCTTGTTAAAACAAGATTTACGCTGCTATAGGCAGTTCTTGTGCACACTGTGAAATAAAATCCTGCAGGCGCCACTGATATTCATTATAGACTTGAAGACTTTGCAGACTTGGATGTTTTTCTGCACGCAGACAGCTGAGATGTTGCACATCGAGTCACACTTTACACAGTAAAACTAATAGGAACAAAATGGTTGTGGTCAAGATGGGCATTACACTCTAGTGTTAAACTGACTCAAGATGTACCGACTGTTCACAGAGCTCCTCTTACTTATGTTGGTTTACATGTCAACCAGCAACTGTGAACGCATCAGCTGTGTGCAGCCAGCATGTGCCAAAGTTTGGCCGTCTTGTTCCCTGCTTGTATCCTATTGATCTACAGCTGATCACTCGCAGGTACACAGGTAAAATGTCTGTTTAAATCCCACCGCCACTTAAATGAAAGTCAAGTCTTTTTCTGCTGCTGATCGCTGCATCCCATGTTCGTCTCCATGGCCACTCCTGGAGATTACATCCTATTTTATCAGTCTGGATGATTGGAGTTTTGTTCTGCCACTTGTCTTTTGTAAACGGGGTCTCTCTAAACTGTGTCACTGGGAACCATCCATGTCATCATATACTGTATGTGGTTGAGAAAAACACAAACACGCGGTTGCCAATTGTACCTGATGGTAACCACATTCAGCTGGCGTGCACAATTCTGAATGGCTGCATGTGTAATTGTTTTTTGCAGTTTATTTTTCAAAGATCTGCCAGTAAGCTATTGCTTGAAAGATTGTGGAGTTTGCAAATGTCAGTTCTTTTGGGCTTGGAATTAACAGTAGGCAACTTTTATTAACACCCTTTGCATCAGTTAAGATAAACACAGCTGTATTTGCTCTATAGACAGCTTTGTTCATGTTATTATTGTCTTTAAAGTTTGTATAATTGCTTTAAATTTTGCTGACTTGATGTAAGGAAAGATGATCGTGATTCTAAAATATGTGTTGAAGATGTAGATGCCCTAATTCCCTTTTTTGGAGTGGTAAGCAAAATTGCATTGTTCTCCAAAAATATCAACAGGAAAGTTGAGTATTTTGCAGTTAGATTTGTCCACAGATTCTGAAAGGACTTGTTTTGCTCATGTCACTATTGTTTGGCCTTCAACCCCCCAGTGATGTGGTTGAGGAATTGTTTAAGTGTGTTAAGCAATAAATACTGAGAGTCCAGCCCAATATGCCTTCCTAGTAAGCAGTTTCTAGGTTTATTGGAGGAATGAATTTCTAATGAATTTCTGAAGTACACATGGGTTCTGAGTCCTTCAGCCCTGTAGACTACAGGCTGTGCAGTCAGACTCCTCAGTTTTGTGCCTCCCCCACCTGGATGCAGTCTGCAGGCTAATTACTGAAGCTTGCTTTCTATGGGCCTTATAAAAAGTGGGTAAATATTGAAGTGGCTCTTTTTTAATGTTATGTAGCCAGGTCAGCCTTCAATCATCAGTGTTTGCAATGTGTAACGGCGAACTACATGACATACTGGGTAAATCCCAATTCTGTTAACTGCAAACATGTTTCCCTCTTCTGTGTGTTTTACTTAAGTCTTAGTCCTTCCCACATAAGATGTGGGGATAGAGGAATTGAGGAAACGTGTTTTGAGAGACATGAGATATCCTTGCCTCTGATCCTCCGTCTGAAGCGTCCAATCACTAACTGATTGACAAAGGAGTGTGTCGCACCATAAAAGACTTCTGTGACAGATGGTCTCTTGTATTCTTGCTCATGGCTCCTCAGAGCAGGAATAAGAGCCTTGAGACGTCTTTCAAGAGACTAACCTGAACAGCTTCTGGGTTGAGCGAGGAGCATGGATCGATCAAATAAGAGAATTAGGATGTACCATTGGCTGTGGAAAATATAGACACCATGATGGCTCCTAAAAATGAAGACGCCATGACTTGATTGCCGGCTGGTTACAGGTCATAAATCACGCCTCCTCCATGTTAGCAGATGAGACAAGAGCCAAACTAAAAACTCAAGTACGCATTTGATAATTTTTTCCCAGAGGTTATTTCTGTGGTTTTTGTTCATTAAATATGACATATTTTAAATTAAAATTAATCTGGCACACTTCATTTTTAGGAACTTCTTGATCCAAATACTGCATCAGGTCCTGGTTTCACAATAATTCTTATCTTAAATTATTGATGTGAATAAATAACTGGGAGCTTAACACCATCTCAAAACTACAGATTCATTACAGGCCAGATACTAACTACTGCTTTGTATCTGTACGTGAACATGCAGTTTGTGTAACCAGTCCAATTTAAATATCCCTGTTTGACAAGTTAATAATGCTGCAGTAACAAAAGGTGGCAGCTGTCACAGCACCACTAGACAAAAGCATAAAACTTACCATGTCTACACTGAAAGCACAGTGTGTGCAGCACGTAACATATGTGCATGAGGCTCGCAGTCATGTCCATACCAGGTGTGTATGTGTTCACTTGTGCATAGGAACTTGCGCACTTGTACAGAAACACAGAGGGGTCTATAGAAGCACTTTGGAAAAGGACAAAGTACAGTCAAAAACTTTGACAAATGATGGACAATGAGTGAATTGGTGTCATGGCTACACTTGCATGTATGGTATATCCAATCCATGGTGAAATGAGGCAAATTAAAACTACAGGCATTTTAAAAAGAGGCACCATGTTCAGTAGGATTGATGTAACAGATGATAGATTGTGTTTTGAACAGTTTTTGCCTGATCTTCCTCTTTTTTTTGGTGGGGTTCTGGTTAGAACTAGTCAGCTTTCATTCTTTTGGTGGATTCTGTGGAGAGCTCTGAAAAAATAGACTTGCAGCTAAAAATAGGCTTCAGGTGCCAGCCCACATGCAACCGGTGTAGACTGCTGGATTGATTAATATAGTATCTTATTGGCTGTGTGACATGCAGGTCTCAAAAACGTGACTGAGCCTGCTCAAATACAGTATTGGAGTTCCAGATACAGCTCGGAATTGGATCGGCTTTATTCTGGCCAATTCTGAGAAATGCGCCCGGATCAGTGCCGATAGATATACTTAGTATTTTGGATGATTTGACAGCTTTAATTGGTGGTCTGATAGGTCACTCAACTACTTGATCGCTACTGTGCAGAATGTGGTTGCAAAATGCCAAGATGGTAGCCACCATATTTGCAAAATTTTGGCTTCACTTTTGCATAGAGGAAGGTAGTGGTAGCACTCACCGGCCACTTAATTAGGCACACCTGTACAATTGTATGCAGTTCAATGCAACACTTATGCCTTAACATCTGTGTTTGTGAAACTCAATTTTTAAGTTTTTGGTAAAATTGTCATATATATAAATTCAAGGTCATAGTTAAATGTGGTGTTGTACTGGACTAAATTATATTCAGAGGTATTCCTAATATTCTGACCCTCTCATGTATGTAGCTGGGGAGGTCAAAATATAGGCACCTCTGTACCTAATTAAGTGGCCAGTAAGTGTATATGGGGCTAAACAGAATATTGCATCATATTGTTTTTAATACAATACTGTGACTAAACAGGGACTAGTTGCCAGTTAGCCCTCTAACTGGCATTGTGAACATCACCACTAACCCTGGGGCTGTATTAATTGCTACAACATACCCCATACCACCCAAACGCCTACTATAACAAATTGATATAATGCCTCCTGGGGATAAATTATGTACTTTAAGTTCCTTTGATTTACTAGATAACATGGGGGTCATGTTTTTCTTCTATTAATGTACATTAAATTTGGCAAACACTCATTTCCCCCCTAAATTTAGTCACTTGGCATATTGAATTTTTTTTATTTTTACATAAGTCAACTGATGTTGTGTGGGCAAGATAAAATTTATGCTATAGTAGGCAGTGTCATAATGCACCCTGCCACAGGAGTGGTTAGGGGAGCATGACAAATTCATTGTGTTGCCCTGGCCTTCAAATTCCCCATATCTCAATCTGATTGAGCATCTGTGAGATGTGCAGAAGAAGTCAGATCCATGGAGACCTCACTTCACAACTTACAGGAGTTAAAGGATCTCCTGCTAATGGCTTGCCACCAGATACCAGAGGACATCTTCACAGGTCCTGTAGAGTCCATACTTTTGACGGTCAGAGTTGTTCTGGTGGTATGAGTGGGACGGACACAATATTAGGCAGGTGGTTCAAATCTTGTGGCTGATTAGTGTACATGACATAACCCAGCCTCTTCTGTATCAGCATAAATTTAGTACTTTTGTATTTTGGAATATTGGTTAAAAAAAAAACCTATAAATTTGAAGGCATTACCTTAGTTTCTTGAAAGTTGTGATGATCATTTGTCACCATTTTCTGACACTTAATAGACAAAATGAACAATCTGTTGGTAAAAAAAATGTGAAAAACTATTGTATGAATTTTGAATTGAAATAATTAGTAATGCATAACAGCAGATGTAAAAGGAAACTTTTTTTTTTTTGCTTTACTGCATTCTGTAATGTCAGTGTGAGCTGTAAAAGTCTGCAGCAGTATACCATAAAACGTGATTTTTCAAGCTTCATTATTTTGGACCCCAGAAAAGTTTTAGTTTTCACAATATGCTGTTCCATCAACTTCATCACGGGTTGGGTTTATTTGGGTTCATTTGAGGGTTTTTTTTTTTTTTTTTTTTTTTTATAAACCAAAAGGTGTTATATAAGCTAAAGATGTATATACATTGATCCAAAATATAATGAAAGACCAAACCAAGTTGCTAAGCATCCATCAGTTAGCAAACACTCTATAAATTATAGCCATTTTATTTAAAAAATATATGTTTTGAGGGGATTTTTTTCAGTTTGGCACATCCTATCCACTATACAGATATGAAATTTTACATTTTAAAATACAAAA